ATCATGGCTTAAAGTATTTTTAAATTTATTATGAAAAATTTATACTAAAAATATAACATAAATATTTAAACTTATTATAGAAAGATACCAAATGTTATATTCAAATATAACAGAATATAAATTTTAATTTAAAAAATATGTGGTTATACATTGTATATGTGCATGTTTATCCACGTTATTTAAAAAATATTCCTAGTATATTTATAGAATGGGTAAAAAAATGTGTAAGATTATATACACGTTAAATATTTATGAAATAATTCTAGTATATTGTAAATTTAGTTAGAAAAATGTTTAATTATATAACATGTATAATAATTGTATAATGTATATGCTTATATGTTCATCTTCGTATTTTATTTAGAAAATATTTCTGGTCTATTTAAAAATTAGAAAGGGTTGCTTTTTTATTTTTTAATTAGTTTTATGAAGAGAAAGAAAATAGGAGAAGCTGAGTTTTTTTTACGAGATTCTTAAATAAGATAGAAAAAGCGCTTTAGGATTTTGAATAGGAAAGAGAAATATGATTTATGGACGAGAGAGAAAGATAATTAAGATACTTAATAAGAATCTATACGTACCCCTAGTTATGGGAAAGAGTTAAGGAATTAACGGTTACAATATGCTACGTTTGTTATACAATATGCTATTGTTATAATAAACCAAAAATTATGATATTAATTTGAATACTATTTTATAAGAGACTAACAATGTAAAAAACTCGAAAACAAAACGTTTCCATAATGATTAATTACTCTTTAAGTTTCACATAAATGCAAATTCTCTTAAAACACAAAATAACATCAATTTATCATGCATTTAATATTGTTAAATTTATTACTCTATTTTGCATTTCGCACTTTTAGGATGAGACATTTATTTCTTCATACAAATCTTTTAAAATATGAAAAATTACACATGTAACCTTATATTAAGAGGCCACTTTTACCTTTTAACCGTTACTATTAAGAGAAAAAAGTACTCAATTTATTTGACATCTTGCTTGAAATAATGTATACTGATATACAAGTTGTAAAATTAAAAATTCATTTTCAAATAATGAACAGGTGAGGTTACTTCCCTTATCCTTCTTAGTCAACCCAGTTTGTGCAAAGGGTAAGTTCACATGCTTCTTAAAAATAAAGTTCTCTTACACACGAGAAAAGGATAAGAAAAATATAGACTGAAAATTAGGCACACATTGACTCGATAACCAATCTCAAATTGAGCTCCATGGTAGAATTCGGACCTAACCATTAAGTAAGAAGTGATGGGAACGACCGAACTTGTACAAAGAAAACCGATAAATCGCACCAAACTGATAATTCGAGTAAAACCGGAAAAAATTCGATGTGGTTTGGATTGATTTGGTTTGATATTGAAAAATAAACTCCGACCATAATTGATTTGGTTTAACTAAAAAAAGTCAAATCGAAACCAAACAAACCCGATAGTATATTTATATAATTTTTAAAAATATTTTATACTATAAATATTTATTGTAATGTAATTTATAAATATTTCTTAAATTTTTTCACAGTTTTATCTTTTAACGTATTATTTCAAGTTTAGACTTAACATTTTTATATGGTAAATAAATCTTAAAGCCCATAAATTTAGTAACTCAAACAAAATTCAAATCAATACTAATGCTAACAAAAGAAATTCAATTCAATACTAGTAATGCCGATAGTGTTGGATAATAATTTTAGTTTTATATTGGTTTATAATGAAAATACATAACTTAGTTTATTTTTTTCTTTAGTGCTTAGTTATGTAATTAATATTAGTACTTATTTGCTATACTTATTTTAGCATGACCTATATAGTATTTTTAGATTATGTTAATTTTTATTATGACTTATTAATTAATAATATTTATTTTATGTAATTTTATTATTTTATCTTTGTTATTGAATATTTTAGTATAATGCTATGACTTATCTCATATTACTGTGTTAGTTTCTTGAAAAATACATATATAGTTGTATTTTACTAGGATTTAAGAAATATTTGGAGCACAAGTTACATATTTTATGCTATGAAGACTTTACCGAAAAAAACCCGAAAACCCGACTTTGTTGGTTTGGTTTATAAATTTAAAAAGTCGACACCATTGATTTGATTTGATAATTGAAAAATCCGAATCAATCAGACCTATGTTCACCCCTACACACCTATCATGTGAAAGATCATCAATAGTACATTTAAACCCATAAACTTTAATGGTTATAACTAATTATAATAAAAATCACCACTTCTGTGGGGATTATTTCAAATAAAAATTGGTTCGAAAAATTAGAAAACCTAAAAAAAGAAAAAGAAAGGGATCGTTTATGTGGCGATAAAAGATAGGATGATATAAGTGGCATCTCAAAGCGGAAAATAGCTGTCTTTATTTACTACACAAAAAAATTAAAATCCAAAGTCTTTTTCTGTAGCTGGTTTGAGCTTTTCTTCATTTCCATTTTCTGCTATGTCTTTTTCTATCTTCTGGCTTTCTTCCTTTAACTCTCTCTGTTCATATCCATTCTTCTTTCCCTCTTTCATATTAAAATCATCACTTCTGTGTCATAAAGGTGAAATTTTTATTTCTTTATTTATGTCTCTCTACATCCATGAATGTGGCTGTTGAGTTGGGTATTGTGTTATTTTCCCCATTCGATCCTCGTAGGGTTTATATTAACATTTTGGGATTTTACTTCTACTTTAACTAACAACAAACAGCTCCTTGGTTGAAGAGTAGGTGGAGAGGGATATACGCACACAGAAAAAACGAAGAGATTTTGGGTAAAAGAAGAAGCTAAGAAATTGTAAGAAGGTTTTGAAGAATGAGTGCGTCTAGGTTCATAAAGTGTGTCACCGTTGGCGACGACACTTTTCCCACTGTAGGTACTTGTTTACCTCTCTATCTCTCTTTTATGCATTTTGTCAAACATTTGTCAGGCATTTTCTTTTGATCCTATCTGTTGTGATACTTGGCTCTAATTTTCTTTTCAGTTGGATTTTTTTTTTGTTGAATAAGACCAAATTATGCTCTTTCTATTTATCGCCCAAAAGAACAAATTAAGCTAGTTATTCTCAGTAAAACGACCTTTTTTCTTGAATCATGACTTGCTTAATCAATTTGGCACCCGGTCTCNGGGGGGGTTGAAAACCATGAGAGGTGTAGTCTAGGGAAAAGGAGCCGAAACTACATCTTGAATATTGTCTTGGTGAACGCAGGCTTAACGAGCTTCTTGTCAAGTTGGTTGACAAACCAACAAAAGGTTGTCTTCTGTTTTTGCTGTGCATCAGTGATAACTTGCATAAAAGATACCCCTTTTCTCTTAAATGCAAAAAGATAAATACTCTTATAAACTAAAGGCATCAGATGGATGGAGTATGAATAGAAAAAAGTAAGTATTAGAACTCTCATGGAAGATGGAATAAACATCACAAAAACCAAACTAAGATACTCGTTATAAAATAATAGCTCAGTTTCTAACTTGATACTGGGTTTTTAATCGAAGATGTCACTTGTTAGAGTGAAAGTGCTTTAAAAACTTTAATAAAAAAGTTGATTATAAGTTCTAGTTATATTTATGTGAGTGGTGCGTGCATTGCTCATGTTTGGTAATTGTCTGCTGCATTGCAAACAGGATTGCGTCCCAACTGTATTCGACAATTTTAGTGCAAATGTGGTTGTCGATGGGAGCACTGTCTATCTGGGGCTGTGGGATACTGCAGGTAAAATATTTCCCCACATGACATTTTCAGCCTTTTCTTTTGTCCCTTGCCACGTGGCGCACATGTCAACTGCCTCTACTTTTTTATTGAACAGGTCAGGAGGATAGATTAAGACCGTTGAGCTATCCTGAGGCAGATGTATTTATACTGGCGTTTTCTCTCATTAGCAAAGCGAGCTATGAAAATGTCTCCAAAAAGGTGAGTTCCTCTCCTGCATCCTGCCTCTAACTTTCAATTTTTTTTTTGCTGTACTTGGCCGGGAGATGAACTTGTGGGAACATTAATGAAACCTGTCGGTCCCATTAAGTTGAAGTAAGTCCATGAATAACATTGGCTTGTGTTAGTTTATAGATATGTATAGTGTAGTCTTGTCCCACATTGGAAGAGGAGTAATATCTCCTTGTAGTGTATAGCTATAAATAGGGACCTCTTGTATTGTATTTATCATCCAATATCAATAACATATTTTCTCCCGTGCCTTCTCACATGGTATCAGAGCATTAGTGAGAAAAGATCGCTGTGCGTCATTCCAGCGTTAACCGGGAAGAAAGAACTTAGTCATCGTGTAATTTTTCCGGTGACCTAAGGCTTGTCTAAGTGAAAGTCACTTTCTGTCGGTGTTGTGCTAAAACCAACACCACCATCAGGTAGATCACCCTCCGACTACCAACCCCTTGAAATTTTATCCGGCAGAAAAGCCGCCACGCTCCTCCACGCGCCGGAAACAACTTTTCCGGCGAGAGTTCCGGCCACTTTCCGGCCATTTTTTCGCGAAGCTTCTTCAGGACAGTGTGTTCTCCTCAAAATTCCGAGCCTACCCATCTAATTCAAATCAAATTCCGGCCATTTTTATATTTTTCCGGCGTGAACAGTGACTTTTCTGGCCATTTTTTAAAAATATTTCTTCAGGACAGCTTGCTCACAAAGGAATTCCGAGTCTATCCATCCTGTTTACAACAAATTCCGACAACTTTGGAATTTTCCGGCGAGCTACAGTGTTTCTGGCGTGAACAGTGTTCCGGCGCAGAACAGTGTTCTGTTTTCCTGCTGTAAACAGTATTTTTCAAGCTATTTCTTCAGCTACTACTACAAATTGTAGCGACATGGGGACCACTGCTTTGAATAGTCGGATGGTTTCTTTAGCAGAGTATATTGAGTTCCTTCAGTATAAAGCAT